CCTGCTTGTCTGCAGAAGGCATAATTCACATGCTCAAGACCAAAGGATGAGCTGAGAAGCTCACTCCAGAAGAATGACCGCTGCTTGCCGAGACCGGAGGGGCAGCTTACACCTGCGGCGGACCTCCCCCGAACCTCAGTCCACGGACCCCTCAGACAGGGTGGTGCTAAGCCTCCCTGGTGAGGTGGACCAGCTCCTTCCTGAGGGAGCCCTTGCAAAAGGACAGGTGCAGAGCAGACATGGGGGGGGGCAGGCGGGCAGGCCCCAACCCACGCTCTCGTATCTTGCCGTCAACAGCCGTGCCTGATGCGCACTCTGCTCATCACCCTGACAGCAGCGAGGCTCAGAGGTCAGAGCGCTGGGACAGGGGCCTAGCGTGACCACCTCCCAGCTGTCCTGGTCTACAAAATCAGAGCAGCAGGACCCGTACTGTTTATTAGCACTCAAAGTACTGTGCTGTCATATTTAGTAAGTGGTAATTATTATTACGTGAATGTAAATTGTGCTGTAAATGGCTTATGAAGTCAAACTGATACGGAGGAGGCTGGTTACCCTGCGGTGTCTAGCGTCTACCGGTGGCACCGCACGGGGCTGTCGCAGGGACATGGGACCCCAGCGTGGTGGGCAGAAGAGTAGCAGAAAGAACATGGTCAGAAAGACCGGGGCCCCCACTCTGGCGGTACCCCAGCGAGCCAGCAGTGGGCCAGGGGCGTGCACTTGTGGGAAGGAGACGGTACATCCCTTATGCCCCGACTGACCTAACGCGAAGTCCCTCACAGGACTGTCAGGGACTGACGCTCTCGGCAGCAAGACGGGGAAGCCAACAGCACCTTCACTGCTGAGCCCTCGCCAGGACCCAGACCGTGCGTCACGGAGCCGGCCTCTTGTAGCCGATCCCCACAAAACCCTGACACGGAACTAGGCCGGCTTCGCAGCTCATCGGGGGTGGAGACAGAACACGGATGTCTCGCGGGGCTGTTGGGGACGCTGTGGTGACAGTGGGGCACGGCCACTGGTGATTCCCTCAGGGCAAGAGCAAACCGGATGTGACCCGTGGCTCTCAAGAAGCGTGTTCATCTTTTCCCCTTTTCAGCAGAAAAGCTGCTCTATTAGGGTGTCATCACCGGCATCTGGGAGGGCGCGAGGCTCCACCGAGGGAGACACCAGCGCAGGCCAGGAGGCCGCACCCAGGCAGGGTGACCAGGCAGCAGGTGGTGTCGCGCCTGCCCTGGACATGACCCCTCGCGCTGGACAACGTTACCGCAGGGAGCTCCGGGCCTAGGCTCCCGATGCAGCACAGTGGAGCGCTCTGTGTACGCGAAACACCTGAGAGAAGGCCCTTCCCTCCCTCTCACGTGTCTATAATTTACATTTAAAAATGACTCGAGCCAGAGGGCCTCCGTGTGCTCTCAGCTGCCTCACCTGTACGACGGACAGGTCACAGGACCCTCAACGTTTCTATACCAAAGGGATATCATTCTCTCAATTCTAAGTGAATCATCATGCAAACGCTTTTTCGTTAAGTAAAATTATGAAAAACAAGACAAAGCAGTTTCTAGCCTGTTTTAAATAACAGTATTCTAAATGTTCACTTAGGCTGTTGGCCACGATGGGGGCAAATGCCTCTTAAAGGAAAGCGAGTCCAGTGCCTAAAAATACCTGAACCAGTATGGGACATCGGAGTGTTCAGCTCAGCTAGGGATATTTCAATTTCACAAAGGACATTTCACTGCTCGTGTGGAAATGACGCTAATTGCTATTTTTTTAAATGACCTAAAAAGAGAAGATATAATATTTTGATTTCGTGAACTCAAACAGTCACTGCTGCTTCCCATGCACTTGCGCCTCATTTCTGAAATGCCGCGGTGGGGTTCTTCAACAAGATTTTATCATTTTTTAGCTTGAGGGGGACCTACTAGGTTGCGGAAGGCACCGCAGGCTGCTGTGTGCCCTCCCCTCCGCGGTGCCCAGCCCGGGGCCCCTTCCACTTGTTGAATGAGTAAATGTTGACTTCACTCTGGGAGGCAGCAGCACACAGTTCCACACGCCAGATTCTCAATTTATAAATATTTACAATCAGGACTTGATTTCGACTTTAATTAGCCCAACTGTTACGGATACCTCCAAAGTGAGAGATGTAATCCATCCCTTCGCACCAGATGCAGCTTCGGCACTCGGTCTCTTATCTAGGTTTATAGTGAATGAAGCCAGACGTCAGATGACTCAAGCATGACGGTTTAGGGTGAATCGATCAAAACATATAACAGACCCAACCTGGGAAAACGGATTCAAGACCAAACAGAACTTAAAGACGGTAAAATTCCTCAAGCTGACAGGCGCCCAGAAACTCTGGATTCTATAGACGCTGAAAAAAAAGGCCAAGTGATTGTTTCCTTTGCACGTGGATCTCGAGAAACTTAACAGAAGACCATGGGGGGAAAGGAAGGGGAAAACAGTTACACACAGGGAGGGAAGCAAACCACAAGAGTCTCAGATACAGAGAACAAACTCAGGGTGGATTGTCGGGGGAGATGGGTGACAGGCATGGAGGAGGGTTCTTGTTGGGATGAGCACTGGGTGTTGTATGTAAGCCAATTTGACAATAAATTATATTTAAAAAAGAAAAAAAAACAGGTGAGGAGTTCTCACTTGAGAGTTGGTTACATTTTTCTGATGTTTATTCATTTTTGAGAGAGAGAGAGAGAGAGAGAGAGGAGGGTTCACACACCAGTTGGGGGAGAGGCAGAGAGAGAAGAGAGAAACACAGAATCCAAAGCAGGATCCAGGCTCTGAGCTGTCAGCACAGACATAGGGCTTGAACTCACAAACCCTTAGGTCATGGCCTGAGCCAAAGATGAACGCTTAACCAACTGAGACACCCAGGTGCCCAGATTAACAGTTAAGAAAACAATCACTGGGGCGCCTGGGTGGCTTGGTCGGTTAAGCGTCCGACTTTCGCTTAGGTCATGATCTTGCGGTTCGTGGGTTCGAGCCCCGCATCGGGCTCTGTGCTGACTGCCAGCTCAGAGCCTGGAGCCTATTTCAGAGTCTGTATCTCCCTTTCTCTCTGACCCTCCCCTGCTCGCGCTGTCTCTCTCTCTCTCTCTCTCTCTCCTAGAAATAAATAAAAATATTTAAAAAAAAAAGAAAACAATCACTAAGATCGTTTTTTAAAATGCATTTTAATTTTTTTTAAATGTTTGTTTTTGAGGGAGAGAGAGAGAAAGAGGGAGGGAGGAAGGGAGACAGAGAATTTGAAGCAGATCCATGCTATCAGCACAAAGCCCGAAGTGGGGCTCAAACTCATGAACCCTGAAACCATGATTTCAACCAAAGTTGGACGCTCAACTGACTGCCAACCAGGCGCCCCTTCAAAAGCATTTTAAACAAAGGGCATTACATTTGTAGCAATGTGGATGGAACTCGAGAGTGTTATGCTGAGTGAAATAAGTCAGGCAGAGAAGGATAGATACCATATGTTTGCACTTATAAGTGGAACAGGAGAAACTTAACAGAGGATCGTGGGGGAGGAGAAGGGGAAAAATAGTGGGGGAGAGGGAGGGAGGCAAACCATGAGAGACTCTTGAATGCTGAGAACATACTGAGGGCTGATGGAGGTGGGGGAGAAGGGAAAGGGGGTGATGGGCATGGAGGAGGGCACTTGTTGGAATGAGCACTAGGTGTTATATGGAAACCAACTTGACAATAAAATATGAAAGAAAAAATAAATAAACAAAGGGCATTGTGAGATGGCTACCACTGCCTTGTGGACACGTTTGCTAGATTCAGAAAAACCTGATTATGACATTACCATTCAGAGGTGTGTTTAGCAAGACATTAACTGGTTTAGAAAAAGTAATGAAGAGCCAAATTCCATCACTAAATTCCAGAGGAATTTCCCATCTAGTTGAGCGCCTCCTGGCTTCTGATAAAACCAAATATAACCTGTATCCCTCACGTGCCCTGAAAAACCTCAGACTCCTTGAGACACGGCATGACTTCCTGTGCTTCCCAGGAGCTAAGAGACTTTCTGTCTAGTTTCACTTCCTGTATTTGTATTACGAGAAGAGCTGCTAATTCCTTTCGTTCTGCATTTACAAAGTTACACTGGCACACGCTCCTCTCCCTGCGAGGAGACCCTGCCCCTCCCGCCGGCGTCCCAGGGCCAGAGGCACTGCCTATAGGTGACGCCAGACCCTGTGTAAAGCAAATTTGCCGGCTGCGGGCTCACAATACGGTACAAGGTCATCTCACGGCACACAGCCCTTCGTGAGGCACATACGCGTCCCCGCCTCCCTTTAATCTGGTGCTCACACCCACCCTATGAGGCCGGGACCAGAACCCCCATTTAACAAGTGAGACAACTTAAGGCAGAAAGCTGTTCGGCATCTCATGTGAGCCCGGTGCAGCTGGGGAGTGGCACCAACGGATCTGAATCCGGGTCTGTCTGAAGCCAAAGCTTGTCCGCTGCCCCATACTGTGTTACGGCCTCAGCCCTCCCGCCGCGGCACACGTGTTCCCCCGACGCCACCTCCATGAGGTCCACCGTGCCCCCACGCTACCTGTACTGTTACTATTTTTCTTTCACTTGAACAGCTACTTGTATTTTTTCGAACACATATTAAAATAAACACCCAAGCACAGGACTTCAGTGCCCCCATGTCACCGCCCACAAGGGCCTCCAATGGAAGGTACCTCACCCAGGCATGCCCTCCATGAAGGAACCTGAGGCTCGCTCTGGGCAGACCCTTCGGTGGGTCACCAGAAGCACTCTGGAGTTAGACGCATGCACGGTGAAGATTCCTCTAAGCCAACGGCGGGGAAAGTATGACTTGCCAGCTCACACTCTGCTTTTGTAAGTTAGAGTTTTGCTGGAACACAGCCATGCTCATTTGCTTACGTATGTCTGTTACGGCTTCCATGTTACAAAAATGGAGCTCCGCAGTTGCCATGGAGACCAAAGCCCAAAGGCTTTTTTTTTTGTGTGTGTGCCCCTTGGCGGAAAAAGTTCACCAAGACCCCCGAGTTAGGTGATACATTTCCCATCCAAGACTCAGTTCGCCAACATCAATCCAGAGGGAATACGGACATTACCTTTGAGTCTGCCGATAAGTATGTGCATCAAAATTACTTCCATTCCACTCAGCTAAAATCTATTGTTGATGGGGCTACCCCATGACAGTCTTGGCGAGGGGCTGGGCTTCCAGAGGTGAACAAAGCCAGGATTCCATTTCTTGGAGGAATCAGGACATAACATATAATTTCAACCCAACTCAATAAGACATCAGAGTAGAATCTGATGTTTTATTTTTCCTTCAAAGAGGACCCTGGAAACCCGACCATTTTGTTCTTTCAAACTTTGAAATTTTAAAACGATAACCATGGGCTAAGATCTCTTTCTGCTTTTTTTTTTTTTTTTTAGAGGCATAAACACTGGAGATGAAACTATTTCTGTGAAATTACTCATTAACTTTTGAAGGAAAGATCAACTTACTGGAATTTTTCGTAATTGCCAAATGCGCTCTGGGCTCCCTTCTACACAGTTCTCATCTCTATGTTGAGAATGGAAAAAAGAAAAGGCATCAAGGCATCAAGGGAGTCAAGGTCAGTTAAAAGAGCCAGACTTTAGTTTTTTTAAGATTGAGTTCTTAAATTGGAATCCGTATTAACTGGGTCACAAATTAACCTTTTGCTGAAAAAGGCATGAGGGAGAGAGACAACGGCCAGGTTCAACCGCGATTTCATTATCTACTATCTGTCTTTGCAACTCAACTAGGTATCAGGTGAATTAAGGGGAAAACCAATTTCTACATCCCGTGGATGTGATGAAATTGATTATCCTCAGGCAGTGCAAAGGAAGACCGAAAATTACGGGTGCGGCTTCCCATCGGTGCGTCTGTCCTGCCCTGATAACTGTTTATTTGCGCTGGCTATTGACGCTTTTGTATCACACAAAGAAGGTTTTTCACTGAGCTTCCCAAGTAGAAACAGAATGAGTCCGTTTCTAGGGAAACCTGAGCGGGGAGGCTCGCAAGCTTGGACTCACAGAAGGCATCTCAACACACCCGTGGGCCCACTGTATAGTAACACCCCTCCTCCTCATTCACCTCATCTCGTTCGAAACATTAATGCAACAATGAGAGATGATTGTTGATGTTCGTTATTAAATCATTTATTCATCCCACACAATGATTCAGAATTATTCATTAAGCTTGCTGGAAGGAAGCTGGGTTTTACCTCCATGGTGGTTTTGGGAGGGATGTGCTCTTTAAAAGGATATTTTATAACAACACAATTATCATAATTAAAAGCTACCCTGATATTCTGATGAGCTTTTGACATATTTTTGAGTACCGGCATTTTAACACAGGGAGATAAATGAGACCAGAATAGTGCGAGGGAATAATATGGCTGTGGGGGAGAAGCTGAAAGCAGCATTAAACAGCAGCATCCCCCCCAATTTTACCACGGTCTTGAAGTTCACGGATCTTATGAAATGTCAGTTGAACTCTGGCTTTCCCAAATGAGTCCACGAATTACACTGCTGTGACCCGAGTGATCTCCTGTAGCGTGAGTCAGGGGGGCACACATTCCCCATCAGGGCCCACCTACCCGTGCCTCTGTTCCAAGCAGGTCACTCAGCCTTCCACCGAGCCGGGTCCACATGCGGCCTGGGTCTCTTCCCGACGTTGCCCTTGGCTTGCTCTGTGTCTGGAAGGCCGTAAAGCAAAGGGCCGGGCTTGCTAAGCCACTAAAACTGACAGGTGACAGTGTCAAGGACACCCAGCTCTCTGCTTTTCCCAGGTTAAGCAGGCTTAGGTGAAGAGCCTAACGTCAGTGGCCAATAGGACCTTCTCCTAAGTGAAGGTGCCTGGTGGGAACAGTGCAGGGCCACGTGGGAAGAGAGAAACTGACTGCTGTTCGAGCTGGAGAGCCAGCATCAGGGCAGACGTCATCGAAGCAAAAAGCTTAGACACCGCGTGATGTATGCTCGACAGTCGGAACGCACCTTGGAAGAGCTCTATGCCCAGGAGCGCTGTGAGAGCGTGGACTGGCCTCCGTGCGCAGCGTACAGTGGGTGCTAACCAAATAAATGGGCTGTGTCAGTCCCTCAGTCATTCCACAAACACAGGGGAAGCACTGGTTATGAACTGACCCGAGCCAGGCGTCCTAACGCAGAGATGACAGCTCCTCCACACTCAAGGAGCCGCGTCTGGTGGGTGACTGAGAAGTGGGCACAAACAAGTCCTCTGGGATCAAGGAGAGCTGAGGAAGAGCCCAGGGTAGGGCTGGGGGCACCTCACGCAGAAGGTGCCGAAGGGCAGTAGCTGGCCAGGGGAAATGGAAGAGGCAGACGCAGTGGGGGAGAGCGGGGCCCCAGGAGCGTGGGGGGCTGCAGAGCTGCTGCCATGGCCGAGATGGTGGCCTCAGGAAGTGGACAGTCTGGAGAGATGTTAAGGCACCGGAAATACCAGAGTATATTCTGGGCAAGGAGGCCCTACTGGAGACGGGCCCATCAGCGTTCCAGAGCCGGACGCCATTAAGAGTGGAACAAGACAACTACTTCCTCTGCTTGGTCTCATGCCGGGCAAGCAAGCGCCTGACTGGGACTTGGCTTCCCATGCTGTCCCGCCCGCGGGCAGAGGCTGTGCTGTTGGGGCGGAGGGGAGGGTTTCAGTCTTGCTTTAAGTCAATCGGTTGGCATCCTGTTGGTAGACAGCCATCTCTGTGAGCCGGGGAAATGGAACCCACCTCAAGATACAGACCAGCTGTGGGTGTGCTGGGACCTCGCAGGGCCAAAGACTATGCCGCCTCCGGGGTTCCTGTGGGTGCCCAGTTAGAGCTGTGGGCTCTCTCTTTACACATGTCCACAGGTCTCCGTATCCGGGGGTGCTGCTGGGCCCCCTCGTGGACACGCCACTCAAGAATGCAGTTGGCAGGAACGGCGAGCAAAGAGCAGCCACAGTGATGGCATTTACATCACTTACCATGTGATATGATAGGAATCACTTCCCTGGCATTCAGTGCTCTCTGGCATTATTCTCTGTTACAGAGTAGTCTCCGTGCTGGTGCTCATGCCATCCTGACCCTTCACTTCCGTGTCATTGAAACGGTTTTCTGCACCGACTCGAGCATGGCATGAAATTTCAAAGCCTCAATAGAAGTTTTCCAACTTCATCTCCATGGAACAGTTGGAAAATGTCTCCAATTATGCAAGCTCTTTGTAAAATGTCTTAAAAATACAGAAGGGCCTATTGTACATTTTGCAAGTAAATGCGAACACATTTAAATGTGTTCAAAGATGAAAAGAAGAGTGTAAGAATTTTTTATTTTTTAAACGAACACTAGCTACGGGCTCAGGCCACCTCCCCATCTCCCTGCCTCCTAACGAATAAATGGATGTATTTAAGTTTCAGAAGAATTTGATGAAGTACAGTCTGGAAAGATCTGGAAGGAGGCATTAAAACCAAAAGAGGAGACAATGGTCATCAAAGCCAGAATCCTGCCGAGTCATTGGTCATGCAGGGAGTCAGCGCTGAGCACCTGGTTCTCATGACAGACACACTGCGGTGCCGTGGGAGGGGCGACAGAGGGGCGCCGACCAGTGCTTCATGGGGTGTGTGGGTGTGTGTGTGTGTGTGTGTGTGTGTGTGCGCGCGTGCGCGCGCGCGCGCGCATGTTCAATACGTAATTAGCTAAGTGTTTACAGCAGGTTCAATCAGATTAAATGCATTTCTCTCTCATGGTTCTGGGGAGAATTGAGTCCTTGTTCTAGGAAAGCTGATAAGGCCTCAGGCCTCCCGGGGGCTACATCTAACACTGGTGGGAAGCCTGGCTCTTAAAGACCACCAGCCGATGGGCAAGTTCAGAAAAGATGACCCTGGCAACATCCCCTCTCCCTGGTTGGTAGAGCTGCACTCAGACCCCCATCCAACCCCACTCACTCCTGCCTGCAGGACCCCCCCCTCAGCAGCCAGCAGCTGCCACAGCTTCACCACTTGGTAGGCCAGGGGCTCCTGTAATGCTTTATAGGCCCTTTGTCTTTTAATCCTCACACCCGCCCCGTGAGAGAGCTCCTTCTGCCACTCCCACTTTACAGATGACCACACTGAGGCTGGAAGGGCTAGGTGGCTTGTCCAAGGCCACAAGGCCAGTAAGTGGTGAAGCTGCGGTCAGAACCCAGTTCTGCCCAAAGCCCCATCCTCTCTCTGCTTTGCCAGGCTGCAGGGGGTGGGGGGTGGGAGAAGGCTCTGGAAGCCCCCTCTCTAGACGGCCCTCCCCACCAGCCCCCGGGGCCCAGGGCGTTACCTGCTCTGATGAGCTTGTCGGCCACCTCCTTGCGCACGGCCTTGGTGAGGTTGAAGTAGTCGTCGTCCTCGTCGATGCTCCGGAGGAAGAGCGGGACGTGCTGGAAGACGACGGCGTGCCGGCACTCGCGCTGTCCCGCGACTCTCAGCTGCTGGTCCAGCCACTGGTCCTGCGCCTGCTTCAAGGCCGGGCACCCGGAGGCATCGAACCAGAACTGGGAGTTGAGCACGAGGCACAGGACGCCCCCGACCCAGAAGCTGAAGTAGTCGTCGCCCCAGGTCCGCTGGAACTCCGCCACGGTCTCGGGAGTGGGCGCGTTGCCCAGGTCGTGGTTGCCGCTGACTAGCACCAGCGGGATGTCGCTGTCCACACGGGCCAGCACCCGCTGCAAGTCCGCCGTCTGCTCCTTCCGCCAGGGCGTCCCTGCAAGAGTGAGGGTCACGTCTGAAAGGGCCGCGGCTGTTCGTGCATCAACACGAGAGAGCACGAGCTAGGAATACACACAACCGGGCGTGTGGGCGCTGCAAACAGTATGTTAGAAGCAGATCAGCAAGTGAGGCGGGAACCTCTGGCCCCTTCCCTCGGGGCGTCGAGGACATTCCGTGTCTAAGTGGCCATCTGCCCAACGTTGCTCACGGAGTGATGATATATGATAATATATGATAACATTCATATATTGAATATTAGTGAATATTAAATATTAGTGAGGCTTCATTTCTTTTATTCAAATGAAAAATAGTTGTAGCTTTTCTGTCTGATCTCAATGGGTCATCATGTGCGCCCCCTATTGTGTGGGCACTGCGCTTTGAATGCTAGTCCCAAACCAACTGCTGCTTAAAGTTATTCTTTACCATACACATGCCCTTGCAGACTGTGTGAGCACCTGTGCGGGAAAAACTCTTAGAACCCAAATGGCCAGATCGACTGGTCTGTGCATCTTGGCAAATCCCACCTCCACACCCCATCCAGGGGAAGAGGTACTTTTATATCCTACTAACGGTGTGAAAACGGGTACAGGCTCAGTGTCTTAAATATTAAGTGTGTCTCACTCCGTCCTACCCCAGAAACACAGGATTCAGTACGGAGATAATGGTCTGGACAGAGAGTTCTCCCTCCTCCAGATTCCTGGTTTCCACACTTCCTGTCATAATGGAGTAACACTTTAATGAACGGGATTTGAAATGACCAACGACATTCTGGATCTGTTTTTGGTTGTTTTTGTTCGGTGTGGTTTTCTGAGCCCCTCTGTGCTAATTCATTCAACAAATCTTTACTGAGGACTGTGTCTAAGGCACCGATTTCGTTACTGGGGCAAGCTGTGAGCCAGAGACACGAATCTTTCCCTCCCACCGGCGAGTCAGACAACCGGTCCAGCAAATGATAGGCACTATCCATATCACATGTTGTGAATTATTGCTGAGAAGAGCAAGGTGGGAGAACAGGATTCCTGCACCACATGAGTCCTGAGGAACATGCTCAATATTGTGCACAGACAGCAGGAGGAAAATGCCGAGAGAAAACAGCAGCCCCTTCTCCCCAGGGACGGTGGAAAGGCACCTGGAAAACCTTGCCATGAGCAGATGAAAACTATACCCAATGTTCTGTGTCTATCATGAACTTAAAAGGAGGCCACAAGGCCTCTGCAAAAAGACTGCAGTTAAGAAGGAGGACCTAACGCAGAGAGGAATTCAGTCTAGAAGGTCATACAATAGGCGGGCGTGATGCAGGAGTGGGTTGGAACAGACTCGGGGAAGAAAGAGAAATGAGAGAAAACCGTTTCAGGAGTTCCAGCTACAAGAAATTAGCAGGACCAAGAATTCCTTTATAGACGCCAGTTTTTCTCGCTACCCAGTGTGGGCTTGGAAAGAATGCGCACTCTCTAACTGGGGAATGTGGGGGCCCCTCGTACCTCCACCCCATCACACTTGGGCAAGGGGTGATTCAAATCTCCGGTGCCGTTCATGGCCTTGCCTTTGGCCTGCTGATCCATGTCACTTCTGGACAGACTCAGTGAAGTCTCCACCATAATTGTCAATGATTCTATTTCTCCTGTGATTATGCCAAGTTTGGTGTGCACTGACTTTTAGCCATGTTGTTGGATGGGGAAGAGTTCAGAATTCCCATATCCCACTGACATAGCTTTACAATGCATTCTAATAAAATAAATAAAAAGTAAAGAAAGAAGTAGATCTACACTATTAATATATTAAGTTAAAAAGGTAAATGCATGGAGGAAAAAAATCACATGTAAATTTTCAAAAGGCTTACACATATTCATATATGGTGGATAAAATTTCTCCGAAGACGTAAAGGAAACTATTGACTTTGGTTAAATCTGGGAGACAGAAGTAGGGAGGGAGGGGGACCTCCACATTCAGTTTAAAATCCTTTATACTACATTTTAGAAGTTCCTTCCTTCCTTCCTTTTTCCAAGCTTATGTACCAACTTCCATTTTTATTAAAAAGAAGTGATTTTTTAAAGGTGATTTTAGTTCCAGGATCCTAAGGTTTAAAGAAGATTCAGGAGAGGCCAGTCAGGCAGCTCCATTTCGAAGCAATCCCAATTTCCGGGATGAGTGGAATTTGCCTGGGGAAGGGGTCAGCGGGCTGCCCACCGCAGGGGGAGTTCTCCAGGGGAGAAGCAGGTCCTGCCTGGCACCAGGGACCAGAAAGGCCCTCCCGCAGTGGTGCTGGGCATTAGCTCACAGCCAGCGTCTGCCTCCTCGCTGGGCTGGGCTGGCCCTGGGGCTCCTGACGCTGCTGGTTTAGCGGAACCTGGACTGTGGGCACCCGTGCTGACTTTACAGAGCCCCCTCTAAGACCCCACTGGGGTGAAATGATGGGGTCAGTTCTCCCATCTGGAGGAATGGGAAGGGAGGATGAATCTTTATGGCCTGGAACGTGATAAATCATTTCCAAGGGACTCCACAAACCGAGGCTAATCTTTCCTTAACCGGTGTTCTAGAAATCCCAAAGCCACCATGCATGTTCCCTTCTTTCCATTCATGCAGATGTGGGGACACTTATCTGGCACTCGCAATGTGCCAGGCACTGTTTTAAGGGCTGTCCTCACACATCAACTCGGTCTGACAACCAGTGGGGAGTCAGGGGTTAAACCCGGGACTCCAGCTCAGAGGGCTGCTTCTCATTACAGTGTCTTGGTCACAGACTAAGATCCTAGCTTCCAGGGTGACTTCTCTGAGCCATCCTGATCCACAGGACAAGGACTGGGTAACACACTGGGATGTAGTGTCTCCCATTCCTGGTTTTCAAAGGGCATTTCATCACGACCCTTCATACACTGACACAAATGATGATCGGTGAGCTAATGACGATTCACAAAAAAGCACCTTAGGAGAAAGGTTGGGTCAAAACAGGGAAAGGAGACCTTGCCTACAAGCAATCTACACTGAAGAGCTGTCAATTACACACAGTAATAGGATGTTCGTTTCCAAACTTCGGAGGCATCCTGCTTTAGGCGAAACCACAAATATCCCCCAATAAACTGTTAAAAATCATGAAACCCATCTTTCCTGGATCTCCTCAGTCAAATATGAGCCTCTCTCGTGAAGCTTTTCCAGAACTTTCTACACCCCTAACATGGAGGCATGGTGTAGACGTGAGGTCTAGGACACCTGGGTTTGGTCCGTAACTCTTGCCCCTTATAAGTCACGTGGCCTTGGGTGAGTCATTTGGTTCCTATGAGCTTTGGTCACATCGTGTGTGAGATGAAGATGGTGACCTCCATACCTCAGAGGGTAAATATAAGGATTCACACCAAGACCATGATTTCCAGAGTTTACAGACAGAGTTGCAAAAACGTTAGCTGTCTTTCCTCCACCCCCACACCCGAATGTACTGAATTCTCTCTTTTTGACCGGTGACTCACAGTGTGCACACAGCAATCAATAAATCATTTCTGAAGGAAAGAAAACATTCCCCAGGGATATGAGTAATTTTTAGGTAAGAATTTAGAAGCAAAGGAGTAACTTCTCGATTACAAAAAGCCAAGCTTAAGGAAAACATTTGCATTATTTTCAACACACTTTCTTCTGCATGTATCAGAATGTCTTTCGGGTCAGGACATCAATAACCCCTTAGTATTATTAACAGAGCTGCTAGTACATCTTAATAGAAGGTAGTACTTTCTAAAGAAGTCATATTATTAATAGCAAAGCCCAAAGCCAAACCTCACTAGCATCAGGAAAAGAAAAAATGTTACCTTGGCCAAGGACACAGAGCTTCCATGAGTTTCTTAAGAAATGAGCAGGGCTCTGCACTTCACAGGAAGGATGGAAAGGTACTCAGGGAAAGAAGAGACTTTGGAGAAGGAAGAAAACTGGCAAGAAAGGACTGAGAAGAGAGAAAAAGATCCCATTAAAATTTTAGGATTATTCTAGTTCTGTGAAATATGTTTCTATTTTGTTTGGAAATAGGGATTGCATTAAATCTGTAGATTGTTTTATGTAGTATGGACGTTTTAACAATATTCATTCCTCCAACCCATGGGAATGGAATCTTTCCATTTGTTTGTGTGAGCTTCACAGAACTCGAATAAATAATCCTAAAATTTGTATGGAACCACAAAAGACTGAATAACCAAAGCAATCCTGAGAAATAAGAATAAAGCTGGAGGTATCACAATCCCAAACTAAAGTTACATTACAAAGCTGCAGTAATCAACACAGTATGGAACTGGCACAAAAACAGACACAGAGATTAATGGAACAGAACAGAAAGACTTAGAAATAAGCCCATGCTTATATGGTCAATTAATCTACGATCAAAGAGGGAAGAATATCCAATGGGAAAAAGACAGTCTCCTCCACACCCAGTGTTGGGAAAACTGGACAGCTACATGCAAAAGAATGAAACTGGATCACTTACGCCATATACAAAAATAAACCCATATGGATCAAAGAACTAAATATAAGACCTGAAGCCATAAAAACCCTAGAAGAGAGCAGAGGCAGTAATTTCTTTGACATTGGCCACAGAAACATTTTTCTAGATATGTCTCCAGAGGCAAGGGACACAGAAAGCAAAATTAAACTATTGGGACCACATTAAAAAAAAAAAAAAACTTGCACAGTGAAGGAAACCAGCAACAAAACAAAAAGGCAACCTATGGAATGGGAGAAGATATTTGCAAATGATATCTCTGATAAGGGGGTTCATGTCCAAATTATATAAGAACTTATTCAACACCAAGACAAGAAATAACAAGTACCGGCAAGGATGTGGAGAAAAAGGAATCCACTTACAGTGCTGGTGGGAATGCAAACTGGTGAACCATTGTGGAAAACAGTATGGAGGTTCTTCAAAAAATTAAAAACAGAAATACTACCTGAGCCAGTAGTTCTGCTACTGGGTATTTATTCAAAGAAAACAGAAACATGAATTCAAAAAGATTATTTCGGAAT